AACTACGCCATTTTAGATTACGTTATTCATGTCCTTCTAGAGGATTTGTGTGTCATATGTACCCAAGGAGGCGGCGCATAAGTGTGCGACCATATTTTACTTTTCCCAAGCATTACCTTAAAGATCACTCTAATCCGTGTAGTTCTGTATGCTTCCACTCGAATATTAGTTGACACTAAGTTTATTACTTAACGCATTTATCTCGGTAGACGCTCGGTAGATGACTCATATCTTTCGACTTTATTATGCTCACCCAAACTATCTTACAGACGTGTCAAGCACTTGGTTTTATCCCTGATAATTTGTTTCGCATCGTTTATACTTGTGCAAATTTTGCTTTGCATCAAGCCATTGCCGATGATGCAGGGGAATTCCAATCGGTGATAATTAAATTCGCAAGAATTTGTTTCTACGTCGGTGATTGCCTCTTCTGTGTTGGTTCTAATCATGAAGCCTTTGAACTCACCAAGCATCTTACCCGTCTTCTGACCAGTGGAGGTTTCCATATTAAAAAATATATCAGTAATCGAAGCCAGGTCATCGTGCATTTGCTCTAGATGGAACTGAAGATTCTAAGAACACGAGATGTGACTGACGGCAAGCGCGTGGAAACGGCTCTTGGTTTAAACTGGAACGTCAATCAGGACCGCATAAACTTCGAGGTAGAAAGTTTTGATAAATTGTTAGCTTGCAGAAACATACTCTCATTTCGCACTTCTGCGTATGATCCTCTTGGCCTCATCGCATCAGCACTGTTACCAACAAAGCATCTTTTGCAAAATTTCATACGAAAGAAGATTGCTTGGGATCAGCCCCTCTCCAAAGAAGATCAACGGACTTGGAACCAATGGTCGTTGAGCACGTATGGACTTGACAGCCCTTCCATGGAACGATGTATCACTCCGTTTGGGTGCAATACATCTTCCGTACAGTTGCGCGGTTTTTCTGATGCACGTGAGATGGACTATAGTGCTGCATTGTATTTGCGAGGCGAAAAGGTGGAAGGCAGTGTTAAGAACTCGCTGAATATTGGTAACTCTACAGTTAATCCCATTCGGATCGCGTTTATACCAAGAATAGAGCTCATCGCTGCTGTACTTACCATACGAATGGTAGCGAAAGTCGATGAGGAAATCAGTCTCTAATACCACACAACATTTTCGACGGATTCGATAATTGTTCTCAATCTGCATCGTAGTGTTAACGGACTCTTTTCGACTTTTGTTGCTAACCGAATTACTATTATACTGATAGGTCGATTTCTATTATTCCTTACAATTGGCGTCTCGCACGAATATTTCACCTTGGATTTCTGCAATCTAGGTAACCGAAATATTCATTCCAATTGTCACCATATTGAGGATTACATGGAACGTTTTGCGATCTGGTGCATCACAAGAAAAGATTTGAATGATGAAGCGAATCTGCTCATTTCATTACTACTATTGGACTAGAATTTTACAGTCTGTGGAAGAATTTAGCTTTTCCTGAGCTACTGCTTTTATTACAATATGATGCACTGAAAACGTTACTGCTTAAACATGTTCAGCTAGCAAATTGTGAAGCGACAGAAAGAGCAAAACTTCACACCCTTATCCGCAAATGTGATCAAGATATATGCACTTGTATCCTCCAACTACGAAAGCAAGCTGCATGATGCAGTCTTGGTGACCAGTTGCATACCCAACTCCGTGATCGGTTGATTGCTGGAATTAACTTACCGAACTTGCAACAAAGCTACTTATTCTGCTTGAACCCACTTTCCAGCCTGTTAGAGCCCTATATGAGCAGTGACAAGATGTGAAAAACGCAGTGAGTGAAGAACCTCCACTTTTATACAACACCAACAGTAAACTGTAGCCTAGCTACGAAAAACCGCGGAATTTTAAAACGCCAGCCACGAACAAGGATGGCAGTAACGGACACTATCTTTCTAGCAGAAGACATTGGAACAACGACCGACCTCACATCGATCGGTACCCCAACACACCACCGGTGGTCTACTAGAGACCGAGAAACTAGTCAGCTTGCACACGAATGCTCAGGAGTTATTCAATAATCTGGCCAAACTGATGGATCGACAAGTTTCCCAGAACTCTGGTATCATCAGCAACACGGTGACGTGGTTACACCCTGAAATGGTGGATGCTGAAACATCGCTACTTGACATGTCACCCATGCGAAACGGCCGAGTGACAAAAAGAGAAGGTGTAATTCCGTATTACGAAACGATTTACAGTGTGAAGTCATGGCGGATTTAGATGTGCTGATTCCTGATTCGCTTTGGTGCCGCCTGCAGTTAAGAGGAAGATACACTTGCGTTATAGCCCTAATGTGCCGTCCCCTTAACTTCACCTCTGAAACGGACTACCAAATTGCAACTGTCCTACGGGGAACTCTAAAATGGAGAAAAACTCACATCTTGACCATGGGTGATTGCAATGTGCATTGTTTAGAAACCCCTGCCACGAGCGGATAACAAATTGTAGCTGATCTACAGGAGCTTGTAACCAGTGTTCGCTTTATAATTATGTCACTTCGCTTACGCGGTTCAGAGCAGGTAATAGGCCAACTGTGCTTGGTATTTTTCTTACCAACAAGGAACATATGATTGAAGCGTTGGTTGTAGACTGCCTGTTAGACCATTGGGATCATAGTGTTATTAGTCTCAACTTCATCTGATATGCAGAATACTGAGATGCGGACCATGAGACGGCACGAATCATCATATGCTACGACCGAGCAGCCCACCTCGTCAGTGCCACGACCTGGTCATTCCTCGCCGTAGACACTCCGGTTGTCGCCTGGCTCGAGTTCGTAAACAGATTCAAGCGGCTGCTTACGGATGTTTCAGAGACAACAGTTTGCAAACTGTCTGAAATCGTTACTTATGTAAGCAGTAGAACTCGAAAATGTTACGGAGAGAGCTTACAGCTAGCAATCAAGCCAAGAGTAGTGCCGTAAAAGTGCATCGATCTGCAATTAGAGATCGAACTCAACTATAGATCAAAATGCGAATTGATGCGGAATCAAAGGCAAGTTGGATCACGAACTTGAACCATTTGAGTTGTGTTAATTAACGCCAATTAGCATCTCCAATATTGTTGTTTAAGTAGTTGCTCACAACCTATTTCTTGGGCCGTGCTCTCATACAATAAGCCTCTCTGTCTACCGAACCTTGGTCTTCCGTATTCCGTTGGTGGGCTGGGCGCGTGACTGAGCAGTCAGACAGTCGCAGTCTCAAGGGGCAGCTAGCAACAGTAGCACAGTCGTCAGTAGCATAGAGTAGAGGAAAAGAAGGAAGCAGTTACAACAGTGGCGACGGAAGTGTTGAACAATCATGGCCATTTCATTCGAGCAGATGCAGTCCCTACTTCAGCAGCGACAGCTTCAGTTTGAAAAATCACAGCGGCAGTTAATTCAGTTGTTATCAGAAAAACTCAACGTTCAAGTGGAAGGGGAACCGGAACCGTGGTTAACATCCCAGGAAATTGTATCTGAATACCACAAGCTGCTCATTTTGAATCCTGACCCCCAAATGATTGAAACTTCAGATCACAGAGAAGAACCCCAGCCCTGTCATACAGTCATTTGTGGCCAAAATGTGAATGGAAATGTGCCGAACCGGAAGCCCCCAACTGCATTATGGAACGGTGGTGGGAGACATTCTGTGAGAAATTGCGCCCACAAAAATCATCATTGTCAAAAGACGCACCAATCCAGATGCGCGTATACTCCAAGGTTACAAGCGAGTTCCAAATTCAAAAGAAACAGGTATCGCGGCACAGTGAGAGAGACGCCTTTTGCAGTATTTCGTACACGCTTTTCAAGGAAGAGGAAATACCCCACAGTGAAACGCAAGAATGTTCCGATATCGCTGCTGCCAGAAACGTTGCATGCTCTCAAGAGCCTTCCTCGTGGAACCCGGGCAAGACTTGGCACATCGTCAGTCAAACCTACAATTCTAACGGTTCAAAAGGTTTCAGAGGAACCTCTGCAGCTGAAAGGAAGAATCGCCTGTGAACGCAGACTCAATGCTTTACTACACTATGGAAAAATCTACCCAGTATACTGTACCAATGTTAAGCTGCACGGAACCAACCGGATTACGACGTTAGTTTTGCTCAAAGAGTCAATGACTCATGTGCGTTCGGTAACGACTGTTACTCTCTGCAATATTGGTCGTACCTGTTCCAAATTCTTATGTCTTTACCAGCTACCAGTGCGGACGACACTGATGTCTTCGCCGAAGCCCGAACCCCCATGGCCGCAGCTCCAAGTGGACCTAGGTGGAATTCCGCGTCGAAAGAGCTATGTGAGCCCCAGGTAACCCGTTTTTTAAGAGAGTAAGATGTTACGGAGAGAGCTTAAAGCTAGCAATCAAGCCGAGAGTAGTGCCGTAAAAGTGCATCGATCTGCAATTAGAGATCGAACTCAACTATAGATCAAAATGCGAATTGATGCGGAATCAAAGGCAAGTTGGATCACGAACTTGAACCATTTGAGTTTTGTTAATTAACGCCAATTAGCATCTCCAATATTGTTGTTTAAGTAGTTGCTCACAACCTATTTCTTGGGCCGTGCTCTCATACAATAAGCCTCTCTGTCTACCGAACCTTGGTCTTCTGCATTCCGTTGGTGGGCTGGGCGCGTGACTGAGCAGTCAGACAGTCGCAGTCTCAAGCGGCAGCTAGCAACAGTGAACATTCGTCAGTAGCAGAGAGCACAGGTAAAGAAAGAAGCGTTACAACAGAAAATTGCTGGCAGTGCGCAACGCAGAGTGGGGAGAGCATAGATTATCACAAAACCAGAAAGCTGGGATATCTACGTAGCCCAAGGAAATCACTGCACACAACTGCTCTGAGAGGACAAAGTCGCGTATCAGCAGAACATGACAAAAACCTTCAGGGCCAACCACAAACTGTTGTATAAGCACGCCAATAGTATAAGAAGGGTGAGGCGAGGAGTTCCGCCACACGGCAGCTGATGGCCAAAACCGAATGGGCACGGAAGGAGTAAACGCGATGCGGATGCAATATGCCCCCACCTTCAAGAGGGTATTACGATTAGGAGATCCTCCAGCTTTTATCGCCTTGACGCCAGGTCTCACTCACATCTCCTTTACCACCGAAGCTCTCTTGCAGAATCTGACCACTCTACGCAAGCACAAATCCCCGAGTGTCGATACTATTTGTCCAGAGGCACTGGGAGCAGCAGTAGTTCAAGTAGCAGAGCCACTGGCTCAGTTCTTCCAGCGTTGTTTAGACCATAAGCGAGTTCCTGCCGCGCGGAATCTTAAAATGATAACACCCACCCACAAAGATGGAAGCACAACCGAAGCTTCAAACTACTGTCCACTTTCCCTTCTCCCTATATTTTCCAAGATGATGGAATTCATTATAGCCGATGCACTGGTGGGCTATTTGGAAAAGTAACAGTATTCTTTATCAGCTATAAGACTTTTGTCGAAATCGATCATGCACAACGAATTTGCTTATAGCACAGAGTAGCTGGACCTAATAAGGTGACACTGGAAAGGATGTTGATGTGATCTACCTGGATTTCTCGAAAGCATTCGACCGTCTAAATCATCGAATACTCCTTTCCACGCCACAGCGTTACGGGATCGGTGAACCTCTTCTAAGCTGGACTCCAATTATCTGCTTCAGCGGAAATTGGTGATCAGAGTTCGGAGCTCATTCGCTGACTCCATACAAGTTGAATGTGGTGTGTCTCAACGCTCGGTGCTACGTCACCGATTGTAGTTGGTATTTATCAATGACCTCACACAGGCAATTACATCTAACTCCCTGGTGTTCGCCGATGACGTCAGGATTTGGCGCAAGATTCATTGGAATAATGACCAGCAACTGCTTCAGAGTAATCCAGACTCGGTAAGTTAATGGTTTATCCCAAATCCACTGCAATTCAATGTGGGTAAATTTAAAGTGCTCTCCATACGACACCAGAGCAATCACTGTTACAGGCTCGGAACGCAAGTGCTGAAGCGAGCTGCCACCGAGCGGGATTTTGGAGTACTGGTTCAGGATGACCTGGGTTGTTCCAGGCAAATCGCGACAGCCTCCAAAACTGGTAACCAACATATGGGCCTGTTACGACGGGGGTTCGGACAAATAGATCGTGCTATTTTTCGGAAGATGCTTAGTGCGTATGTTCGTCCTCATGTCGAATATGCAATTCAAGCCTGCCGCCCATGGCGAAAACACGACCTTATTGCATTGGAGCAGCCCCAACGTCGAGCATCAAAGCACGTTATTGAAATACACCATCTTCCATACTAGAAGTGGCTGGAACGATTGGTGGTATTCTGTGAATACTACCACCGCTTACGAGGTAACTGGATAACGGTGCACTTAATTCTTCACGATCCACATCATGTGTGCCGCTCTGTACTGCAACTCAGCAGTAATACAAACGGGTAGAAAGCACAGTCACCTGTATTGCTGTAGGAATTGCTTTTCCGTCCGCGTATGTCACGCGTGGGATGCTCTTCCAGAATCGGTTATTTTTGCATCATCACTATCCATCTTTAAAAGATGTTTGGGTGACTCACCTACTCTCCTCCACTTTGTTACCTAGTACTACGTCTTGAGTCCATTTCTGGAATATACTCTGGATTTCTTTGCTGTTACATGTTTGTGCTGGGAAACTACACGAATCACAGGACTACAACGAAACAAACGATAAGTCTCTCTTCTACACGTAAGTAATCCACTGCTTTTTATTTTTCGATAACCCTGCAAAGCATCCACCGGGACTTGTAAAGCATTGCTTCTTAATCCGCATGAATGCATTGCTCATTTTTGTTTGTAGGTCATGCGGTAATAATCATTCGCGACTGTCATGCAAGTTCCGTAACTCGAAATGTTATTCATGTCGTGAAATAGATCATATTCAGGTCGTATGTCGAGGACTTGTTTAGTTCAATTAGCGACAGATGGACAAAAGCTTTCATCCGAGTTTCATTCATTAGCACATGCTACGGGTTTTTGTGACACTACTTCTCACATGGCACAGCAATTTGTTGTCAACGGTGACTACAAAATTCATTTATTATTGACACCGGTAGTACTGAGTCTTTTATTCCGAGTTCATATTTTGAAAGCTTAACTCCGAAACTTCCACTGAGACCAACAGCACTTTCTGTTAAAGAGATAACTGGATCATTCACTTTCTATCCTTGGCTCGTGAAGTATTTCTGTCAGAGTGCACTTCAAGTTCAGTCAAGTGTGTATTTGTTTCATCCTTTCGGGAATCGTCAGCAGTGCGCATTGCATCGGACCGTGGTAGGGCTCGAACCCGCAACTCGACTGTTGCGAGGCCGTGGTCGAGACCACAGAACTAAAGGGGACGGCAACGACCATGGTAAATAAGTTACTAAATGTGATATAGCACCGCTCACTAACCACTGACTTACACGTTACTGCCGTGCTGTGTATGAGAGCACGGCCCAAGAAATAGGTTGTGAGCAACTACTTAAACAACAATATTGGAGATGCTAATTGGCGTTAATTAACACAACTCAAGTGCTCCAAATTCGTGATCCAACTTGCCTCTGATTCCGCATCAATTCGCATTTTGATCTATAGTTGAGTTCGATTTCTACTTGCAGATCGATGCACTTTTACGGCACTACTCTCGGCTTTATTGCTAGCTTTAAGCTCTCTCCGTAACACAGAGTAGCCCCCTCCCCAACCGACGAGCTTACCAAAATTAAGCCGCCAATCAGCATGGCATTATAAGCAGTTTGGTCGGAGTAATGATTACAGAAGAGTAGTACGGGTGTTGAGTGCCATAGGCAGAAATGCTGGGTCTAGATGTGATGAATTGCTACCTAGGACAATCAACTCCCACTACTAATGTTCTGTGTATTTTTTGTTATGGATCCTGACCCTTAGATTATAGGCCTTACATTTATGAAGACGCCGAACATGTCGTTAGCATTATTTTCAGCTCCACTTTATGCAAAGCTTCGCTCTCTTGTTGTGCAATGTTCAAGAGCCTCAGCTTGCATGCGTGTCAAGCTCATTAATCTTGACATCCAAGGCACTTCTGTGTTCATTAAAAGAGAAACAATTCCTTTCGGGCTCCGGGAGCCATGGAAGAAGTTCCTTAGTGACATGGTTGTCAAAGGTAGTATTGTAGGGAGGCGGAAGGCAGTGGTTGCACGGAAAACAGAAAGACCATTACAAGGGGAGCCAGCGGAAAGAAAAATGGTCGCATTGATAGGGAACAGACGGAGCAACACTGGCCTGACGGAACGAGACGAAAACGGGGCACGAGCGGCGCGCGGTAGTGAGCCTGAGCCAGGCAAAACGGGGAGAGTATTTGTCGAGAACGTAATAACTCGGACAATACCGCCGTTATTGCTTCCTCCCGGAACCACCACCAGCAGAGTTATACATCCACATTCAAGCAAAGCAAGAGCTATGGAACGACTCTTGGCTGTGCAGAATGGGATGTGTGGAAGCGGAGCTACGGGGACGAAATTGACATAGAATAATTCTTCCCATGCCTCAAGGATTGCATGGGCCTGTTGCGAGCGGAAGCCAGGAGATGTGGTGCAACGGGGGAAGGAAACATGACTCATTAAAGTACACCTGTGTGAGTGGTGACATAGCTTGTGATCGCGCCAGTAAAGCTTGTGCTTCATTGTCGATTTGTTGTCGTCGCAACATTATTACATCGGTACAGATTACAGTTTGGGCCACTCACATAATCACACCACTAAAGCATGACGGTAAAAACGCCCAGGAGTTGTGGCGACTATCGGGCTTCAGTGAACAAGTGCAAAGTACATAGACGTTGCACTACTGCAGAACCTGAGGATGTCCTACAGCAGTTGAGCGAATCTAAGTGTTTCGCTAGGCTCGATTTGAAGGATGCTTATTTACACATACCTTTTGACGAACAATCTAGTACTCTTACAACTAGAAACAGGCCATGCGAGTGATTTTGTTTCAACTTTTTACCGTTTGGTCTCACTGCATCACCATCCGTTTTTCAAGATGTTATGGACTCCGTCACTGAGAATCTAGCAGGGATTGTACTGTACCAGGACAATGTTGTCGTTCATGCTCCTTCAAAAGCGATTCATGACAAGGGATTGTGCACGTCTTGAGAGACCTTGTGAGTTTAAGGTGACCAAAAACTCTTCGAAATGCATGTTGGGTACATCAACATTTTCTTTGCTCGGTTATATCGTCGATGGAATTGCTTCTCATCTGAATCCTGCTCATTTCTTTTAATTATCTAATGCCAATTCTCCCAGAACCTTTGAAGAACTTAGTTCTTTAATGGGTTCTCTGCAATACTATTCAAGATTTATTCCTCATTTGCCGAAAACGCAGAGCCTCTATTCGAATTGCAGTCTGCAAACACGTTCCTTTGGACCATCAATCATGAGAATGCGGTCCAGATGCTGTTTAGGACCATTTTCGCCAACATTGCCATCAACTGTTATCACCTACTGGTATAGGAGAAGCATAAGAACAAAACAGTCATGCTGTGCTGTGCGACTTTAGACGACTTAGTCCAGCGGAACGCGCGTACGCTTAAACCATGAGATAAGCTTTCGCGGTGCACTGGGCGGTAACAATGAAAAATGAACAATGAATTTATATAGGTTCAGAAGCGTTGCTTTACAAATCCCGTTGGATAGATCGTAGAGATATCGAAATAACAATAATGCTAATAATGATAGTAAAACAGGTATTAGTTTAACTATGAAAGGAAGAATTTATCGTTTGCTCCTCCGTAGTCCTGCAATCCGATTAGATTCACAGCACCAGCAGTTAACATAAACTAAATCCATGGTAAACTCCAGGCGTAGGATGGAGCTTGGAGATTAGTATCCGATGGTCTAGACGATCGAAGGCCTTGGAAAAATCCAGCTAGATCACATCAACACATTCTCCAGCGTCAGCTGAGTCGGTCTAACCAACACCAGCACGCACGACACACAACCGTACAGAGCGCAGCATAAGTAAAAGTGGTGTTCAAGATCACGTTACGATGCCGCAAAATTGACTGAATCTCATAAAACAAAAAAAGCTTCAAGGCAGGCTACCTAACGGTTAGCTTAAAAGAAAACACAAATTTGACAGCATCACACTTCCAACATCAAAACACTATAGTGTTTGCCCACCAACGCCCAAAGCCTTCTTAGAAAGTTGGCGGAACCTAGTGAATTCCCGGCCTGACAACCGCGTGACCTCGTCATGATTACAGAGACCTGGTTACACTTTGTGATAACCAATTCTGAGGTTAATTTATCCGGGATGTTGCTGCTTTGGAACGATAGAAGCGGAAGGGGTGGTGTGATTCTTTACTAGAATGTTAACCTCCGATGTGATTATTGATCACCCGGAAATCCTCCCCACAGAATTGGCGACCTAATCCTGAGCCGGT